AATAATAAGCTGACTTACAGAATTACTGAACTTAAGACACTTCTGGGATGTACAGTGACGATATGCAACCCACAGAGACTTAGGTCTGGAGTTCAGGAACACACTAATAACCAGAGATGCAAAACTGGGATTATCCATCTATAAGGTGGTAAATATAGATCAAGAAGAGAAGAAACCTAAGGAACAAAACATCGAGAGTTTAAACGTTAAATGTTTTCTTCCTTGGGTTTCAAACCTAGGAAGATACTCTGGATTTAACACGCCCTGTCCCCCATAGGCCATCACTTAAATAAAATAATGATTAATGTATAGCCTGTGGATAAGCAATAAGCCAAATTTCCTGCCACTCTCCTACCTAACCCATCTCTTCTAGTCAACTCTCTTCCCAAATGCTTTGAGTCACTCTGCTTCTAAAACCTTTACCACTCTAGCCCCAGACACCATCTTCCTTTCTCCTTCCTCTGGAAAGCACTCATTTAGGGCCCACTGTTTACTGCCTTCCTATGGATGTACAAGACTTATGTTCTCAACTGGTCTAGGAAGGATATGGAACACAAACTTCTTTTTTTGTAGTCCTCAGAGTATCAAATTCTGGCAACTGCACATTCATGGGCTTTCGGGAAATTGCAGCTAATTAATCTTGATATATCAGCCACATGGCCCCTATTTCTCCTTTGGAGAAACGGTTGAGGTAGGAGGCTAGGGGTCTGATCAGGGTTTCTCAGTCTCAGCACTACCGGCATTTGGGGCTGGGTAATTCTTTGTCGTGAGGGGCCATCCTGTGTACAGTAGGATGTTGGCAGCATCCGTGGCCTCTACCCACCAGAGACCAGTAGCACACACCTCCTCTCCAGTTGTAACAACTAAAAATGTCTCCAGACATTGCTCGATTTCCCCGGGAAGCAAAATCACCCCTAAGTAAGAACTACTGGGTTAGATGAAAGCAAAATAGACAAAAGGACAACATTCATGATTCCCTTCCTAGTACTGCTGTTATTAAATTTCTCAACCTTTGTCACCTTTGTTATCCCCCTCTATTTCTAACATAACCATTTTATTGGATCAAGTTATCTCTTGGGCTGCCTAGAGTCAGCTGAAAAACCCTTACCCACCCTATGTGTGTTCTCTTAATCCCATGAATCCACGGGCTATTTTTGGAGTTTTAATTACCACTTAGCTTGACACTAGCTGTCTAGAAAGTACAGAAGGTCAATGGGAGCCAGGGTCATAGCAAACCCAAGCCAGGGGAGTAAAGGAATTTGAACATGGGGGATAATTTTCAACCTTTATTAAATGCCTATTGTTTGCCAGGCCCTGTGCTAAGTTCAGGATAACAGGAAGCTGGGTCTGACTCTAGAGAGCTTGTCAACTGAGGAGCAGAGACAGACTTCCTGACAAATAACTACAATATGTGGTCAAAGCTCTACCAGAGATCTGAGTAAGGCATGACAAGCACAGGGGATCTGATGGAGACAATTAGGGAAGGCCCCGGAAATGCAGTAAGAGCTGAGTCTGTCCGTCGATGGCGAGTACAGGAGGCAGCCCAGCACCACTTCATTGATTAACTGCCCCTAAGGGATGGGCATTTGACCCAAACCTAGCCAATCAGATTTTCTTTTTAGGAAATACGAAAACTACAGGGACAGAAAGCAGGAAGAGTCAAGTCATTTGATGGCAAAGAGATGGGCTGTGACTCTTGCCACTAAGACCCTCAGCACTGCCCTAGTTTGTTCCTCCAAGACCTCTGTGACCTATACTCTAATTTTTTTTTAATCTAACAATTACTGTGTACCAGGCATTGTTTTAAGAACTTGACATAGGTTAACTCATTTAATCTTTATAACAACCCAATGCAATTAGAAATAACTCATCCCATTTTAATAGATGAATAAACTGAGGCACAATAAGTAATTTGCCAAAAGTCAAGCAGCTAATGAATGGCAGGGCT